TATTTTGTTTAGTTCTTCAATATCACGCAAGTTAAAGTTGTCGTGGTATTAATTCAAGAGTTAACTATGGAAAAATCACTATTGAATGGTTATACATTTTTTTCACAAAAAATGTACTTTTATTTGTGGGAGGGGAACTCTCTGCACGTAATGTTAAAAATCATTTAGTAAGAATTAGAAAAACAGGCAGTGGCAGGAATTAGTACAGTTACGGTTTAGAGAGGCACTAGAAGTGTTTTAATGGAAGGGAACAACTCGGTGGATATCTTCTACCTCTTCCTCCTGAATATCATTTGGGAGAAGACTGTCTACCCCTTGTCCAATACACTGTGGGTTAGAGCGGGACTTTCTTCTGATTGAGCTACGAGATTCGTCAGTGATGCTCTGAATCTGAGACAGGAAGGCCACCCGGCACAACCAGCATATAGAAAAAGGATACTGCATTAGCTAATGAAACACAATGTTTAATTAAAAGAAACAAGGCACACAGCACATTTAAACATCAGTTCTGCAACATAACCTTTATCGCATCTACCTCACAGGCACATTATGTACACCAATTCCTCAAAAAGGCATAAAATCCCTTTATTTATTTCTATAGACAATTATTTCTGCAGGCAGTCAGTGCAATGGCCAAACACTGAATGGTTTCAAAAAAAAAAAGAAAGAAGAGAAAACTTTTTAAATTAAGGTTTGATATAAGAAAATGAGTAATCATACACTAGAGTTTTACCAAGAGGGATGTGGTATGGTTTCAAAGCCTTTTTTGTATTTTATTTTCATCTTAGGGCTCAGTTTATTAGTTAGATGAATGTGATATCATAAATGGGAGGCCAAAACCAAAAACATATTCTCCAGGTATTTTAAAGTAGTGGTGTTATCTGTTTAAGATGTAAAACATCACAGCAAAGAAATTCATTACATATGATCAACAAGATTAATGTTCCATATAATTAAAAACCCCGGAATTTTACAGTTTAATTTTTAAATATATTCCTGCAAAGGAACAGGAGAGAAAATGCAATCAAGCAAAATTAAAACATGGGACTTAGATTAAGTAATGGCAGTCTTAGATTAAAAACAGCCCTCATTTTTTCATTGCCAGTTTAGTCAACTTGATCCCTTTATTCTTAAAATTTGCAATGCAGAATGTGTGGGATAAAGAATGTGTGAGATAACTAACAAAAATCTCAGGCTTGCTGGAGAAAAAAAAAAACAAATTAGTAGAGATGCTAAACTGAACATGACATGAATATAAAGACCGGAGTCCAAGATTCTGAAAATGTTCAGAAATTTGCAAAACTAATTAGGTTAAAATAGCGGGTCATCCCCCATCCTCCCAAAAGTATAAAGGTTTTTGAAATCCGTAAAAATGACTCAATAAAGAGAAACAAGGAATGATAGTTTTAAAACATGAAAGAGAAACATCCGTATATTAATTTGAAATAATGACAAATTGTTTTTAAGAGGCTGAAAAGAACAAATATGAAAAAATGAAGTTATTCTCAACAGCATACTACTTTAGCCATCAATCAAAGGTTTTAAGGTTCTTATCATTAATAATTTAGTACTACTAAAAAAGTAATGAACTTATTTCTAAGGAAAAATTAAAACTTGACAGAAACTGTGCAGGCATTTCTATTTATTCCAAACTACATGTTGAATGATTAATTGCTCCTTTTCACTGAAATAACTGAAATGGACTTGGTCACACTTAGGATTCATAAAAGATTAACCTCTGCTTGCGAGAATATCCAGAAATAATGTTCTCATTAACTAAAATGCTATTGTTGGTGGCGCAATACTGGAAGAAGGAAGACTTGCCTACAACTCAAGAATGAGAAGCTGAGTTCAATGTAGAGATGTTATTAACTTCTTTTTTTTTTAATTTCCTTTGTCTCAATATATTTTAGACTGTGTTTGTTAAAAATCTATACCGTTTACGGGCTCTGGGAAGTCGGGGGGGAAGGGAGGNCAACACACACACACACACACACATATATACCTGTCTAAGAAGACAATGCTGTTGAATGATAAAGCAAAAGACTATCTTTGAACACAAATACAGAAAAAAATGACATGTGGAAAACGTTGAATTTTGAAGTTAGCTAAAAAAAAAATACAAAGTTAATTTTAGGTATTTTATTGTAAATCTGAGAATGTGTCCTTGACTGTAAGCTATTTGTGCCGTCTGTGACTCACTCTGACAAAAATATTTAAGATTATCATTAAAAAAAGTAACTCCTTCAGAAGCTGTTCTGAATTTCCTTTGAGCAAGGCAAAACATGGTGAAAAGCACAGCATAATAAATCAGCATTTCATCATTATTTCCAACAATAATGACTAAAGCAGAGATCTAACGTTAGTAAAAATTAAGCCATTATCTACATAAGTAAATTAATTAATCAGTTATGTATACTTTGGAAGGAATTTTATTATTAGCTTTTCCATTAAAGGCCACTTGAGTTGCAATGTTCTTCTTAAGTAGCCCTTGGCAATTGTGTAGATAGATGAATTAATCTACCAGTAGTCTGAGGCAACAAGATACGAAGGCTGTGGAACCTGTGAATTACTGTTGCAATAACTGTAATTCAATTTACATTTCTCTATTTTCTACTTTTTATGCAGAAGGTATTCAAGTTGGGTCTTGATTTTTTTTTTAAAAAAAGACAGATATCATTAAAAAAATTAATAGATTACCATATTTTTCAGAGTATAAGACGCACCTTTCTCCCCTCAAAAAGAGGGTGAAAATTTGGGTGTTTCTTATACACTGAATACAGCATTTTTGGCCTCCTGAAACCCTGCCCCCTTCACAAAAATGGCTTTGCATAGTGTTTAGGAGACTTACAGAGTGCTCCTGGGGTATGGGGAGGGCAAAAACAAGCAAAAAAATGGGACATTATTTGCTTGTTTTTGTCTCTCCAGCCCCCATGAGCACTTTGCACGCCTCTCAAACTGTCTGTCTGCCCCATTTTTCACTAAAAAATGTGTTATGCAGAGGGTTTGGGAGGTCCACAGAGTGCAAACACGTTTTTTTTTAAAAAATATCTCTTCAAAATCTTGGTGCATCTTATACTCCGGTGCATCTTATACTCCAGTGCATCTTATACTCTGAATAACACGGTAAGTCCTGGATGAAAAGGAAGTGCTGTAGGAGAGGAGCAGGTGAGCCTGAGGGCGAAGTCAAATGCATCATCAGTCTTAACTCCCTACACCCACTGAAAGAGACCTCCATTGAAGTCCATAGACTCTTATCCAGTCCAAATTTGCCTTGACCATTATTTGACCAGAGTCTACAGGCTGTATGGAATGAACCCATAGTGCTTTCTGGACTTTATCCTGTTTCCTGTTTTTTTGTCCCTAACTACTGCTTGACTATGTTTCTGAAAGTAGAAATATGCATGAAAAAGATGGTTTAAGAGAATGTCCCCCATAGTTTGGGATTCTTGCAGGAAACTCTCCTTTCCCATGTTCTCAACATATGAAAGAAAACAGAAAACAGGGATGTCTTTAAAAAGGTTTTGCCTCTAATCTCAGTGTCTGAACTGGCTGATGGTGCTATAAGTCATTTTTCCCACAGTCATTCCTCAAACTGTGAGCCATCAAAGGTCAATCAACCTCTGTAGCAGAGGTGGGTTCCTACCAGTTCGCACCTATTCGGTAGAACTGGTTCGTCAAATCTACCGAACCGGTTAGAAGAGGTTCCACCAGTGGACCCGGAAAGCAGGCCACACCTACAGAAGAGGATCCAAAATTTTTTGAAACCCAACACTTGTCCTTGGATATGATTATTCTACACTATTATGCTCTTATTTATAAAACGCAGTGCCTCCGTGAAAGGCAAGG